TTTATGGAGAGAGAGAAATAGAGTTATTGTGGTTTATTAATATATTATATGAATAATAAATTAAAAGATAAATCATATTAGTTAGTTAATATTAATCAAGAATTAATTAGGAAATTTATTCTGTGATTAAAAGTGATTAAATCTACTAAGGGAATGGTATTGCCAATTATAAGATAATTGGATTTGGGCTATGGATCCCTTTGGAAATGAGGGGGGCGAAATTAGAGTGGAAGCCCACTATGATTTCAAGTGGGAGACTGTTGGATTAGTGTGTAAGTCCAAGTCCATAACTATATTTGGTATGTACTTGACCAGGTTATGCATGGTCCATTTAATTTGCCTTCACAAAAGCAATTTGACAACATGATTTGTGGAGAGAGAAAGAGAGAGAGAGAGAGAGAGAGAGAGAGAGAGGTTATTATGGTTTATTAATATATTATATGAATAATAAACTAAAAGATAAATCATATTAGTTAGTTAATATTAATCAAGAATTAATTAGGAAATTGATTCTGTGATTAAAAGAGATTAATTGAACAAAAGGAACTGGTATTGCCAACTATAAGATATTTGGATTTGGGCTATGGATCCCTTTGGAAATGATGGGGAAGAAATTGGAGTGGTAGACCACTATGATTTCTTCCAAGGGCCTTATTCCAAAAGGTTCTTGAAGTGGCTTAGGGCCTAAGCTATCCAATTAGGGTTTTGACTGAAACCCTAGTAGCTCAGCTATTTAAGGAACCCTAGGGCTATAGATTTCGGCCACCAGTAAAACCTTAGAGTTACTATAGCCAAAATTGTGCCTCCTCCTCTCTTCTCAATCATATTCTTAACTTGGTGTTTGTAAGTCATTAGATGTAGTATACTTATCATACTAAGCTCTTGAAGATTGAAGATTCTTGCTGCCATCAAAAGGTAATCATCTAAACTTGTATTAGATGTATATTTCAATTTTATAGTATGCTAGATTAGGGTTTACAAGCTTTGGATAAATTTGCATGTACAATTGTGAAACCTAGATCCAAAGCTTTAGGGTTTTTCATGTGCATATAGGAATGTTCTTTTTCTCAAAACCCATCAAAGTTGTTATTGATAAATTTGGGGTTAAGATTTGTTGATTGCTTAATTATTTGATCAACCCTTTTGAAGATGTTTGACTCTTGCTTTTCTTCAGGTGATTCTCCATTTGAGTAGTTACATGGCCCAAAGTATATGCTTCAAAGGAGAGAGTTGGGGGGGGGGGGGGGGGTTCTCAAAATTGGTTTTGTTAGTGTTCTCAATATAGTTGTCTTGACTAAGTGGATCTGGAGACTTGAATAGAGATAAAGATAATTTGTGGTGGCACACCATTGAAGGAATACATAATCTAGATCACAAAATGATGAGGATGTATGCAAAGGAAACTCTCTTTGACATGTGGAGCAATATAGTCAAGGTAAGAGACGATCTTGATAGTCTTGATTTAGAGTTTGACAATTTGTTCTCCTATTTAGTTGATTCAGGAAAGAACACTCTTTTTAGGAAAGACAACTAGTTGGAATCGGGTATACTGGCGACTCAATTCTCAGGCTTGTAAAATATGGATAAACTTAAGTCATCACTCATTGCCGAGAGATTCAACTCAAATGGTTTCATTGGAAGTTGGAAAAATAACTAAATTTAATAGTGGAGCTTTCGAACTATCAAATCTCCATTATGTTATCACCAGTTTTGTGCCTTCTCATGGAATCGACACCATAAAATTCAATCAATCATTTGATGGTAGTTTTTATGTTAATGTAATGAGCAACTTTATAGACTCTACGTTAAATATCCCATTGATCCCCCGATAGTATGGATTACTATTGTCCCAATCAAAGTTTCTATTTTTTGTGTGGAAATCATGCTTGGACCGTATACCTAGTTACCTATCTTTGAGTTGTAGAGGTGTGAATATCTCTTCACTAGTTTGCCTATTTTGCTCTTGTGAGATTGAAAATACCAATAATCTTCTTGCAAAAAATTTCATTCATGCAGAAGGTATCAAAACATATATTCAAATGGTGTTGTATTTTAAGACGATCAAATATATGTGATCACATTAATTTTGCAGCTAGTTGGGGTCATTGCTCAAAGAAAAAGAAGATATTGCTGACTATTATATATGAAACAATTTGGAGTATTTGGAATGTGAGAAAGGACAAGATGCATAATAATTAATTTCTACAACAAAAAACATGGCAGCCAATATAATTTCAATGGTTTGTGGATATGTTAAACATATGGCTAACTTCGAAAAGTACAATTTGACGTGTTGGAGTTGTCCTTTTTGATCTTACGTTGTAGTTTCCATTATATGTTTTCTTTTCATATCCTTAATCACTTGGTAGGATGTGTTTAATAAAATTGTAGGATACAAAAAAAAGATAATAATAAAAAATATTATGAATAATAATAATAATAATAATAATAATAATAATAATAATAATAATAATAATAATAATAATAAGTTACTTAAAATAAATAAGTTTTCTACGAAAACTTTTTTCAAGACAATATCAATCTCGTTGGTAATTTGTAGGTAGTTTAATGATAGAATTACCCATAAAATTGTGTGTCGGTAAATTATTTTCATGTTATCGAATAAAACAAATTTCGCAATAGGGTTTTTTTCTGTAAAAAATTTACTATGTAAAAATTTTAAATGAGATCTTCCTTGATAATTTCTTGAAGTGGGAAAATAACTTGTGGTGTGTATATGAATATATATATATATATATATATATATATATATATATATATATATATATATTGTGTGTGTGTGTGTGTGTACTACTCTTAACCCATATAAATGGGTTAAATTGCATTTAATGCTCATGTAAATTTGTTTTGATAAAATAGAATGTTTATTTTTTAAGTTTGTTATATAAGGAAGAAATAATTTTTGTAATCACATGAATTCTTGTTTTAAGATTATGTAAAACCTTCTATTCAAATATCACGACATAATTTTCCATCAAACACATAACCCCACATCAAAATAAGTCTTATACATAATTATAACAACATACAACTGACAACAATCCTATCTTTATCGCAGCACTTCAAAAGGACATATTAATTTTACATAAACTTATTAGAAGGTTATTAAAATGATATGTTCCATCACATTGACATATGAAGTGATGAACATGTGACTAGGCTATAGAAGAGGTGATAGATGATGAAAACTACCAAGGTCCATTTATTAAATCATCATCAAGTTCATCAAGAAGATTCACGGTCATATCAAGAAGATATTGGGTTTCATCCGCAAACATATAACTTTCCATGGTTGTACATTCAATCCCATCCACCAATCCAGGAGAGTTGAAAGGTGGCAATGTTTCTGCTTGCCTGTTATTTTCTTCACTGGGAAAATGAGGATCAGAATAACCAACACTTCCAACTCCAAATGGAAATATATTTGAATTAGAAAAGTTCGGGTTTGTGGAATGCCCCACATCATCATGATCATTGTTTCCTTGCAAATCTTGAGAGTGGATAAGATAATTATGATTTGATAAAGCTGAAGTGTAACCACCAATGGAATTGATCATCCCAAATACATTTGATATCTCGCGCATCTCAAGATCATAGTTTTCTCCACTAAGTGCAAAACCCTCTAATGGTTGCAACCCAGTTCCTAAACCATAATACGAAGGTGCCATTCCAGAGACCGATTTCTCTATTGAAGTTCCTGAATAATTTAGCGGTGTCAGTGAACTACTTGCAACTACCGGAGCCACAACTTCACCAAAATCCATCGGGGTCATTGCTATAGTTTCACCATCCTTTAGTGGCCCCATTGTACTTTCATAACTATCTCTTGTCATTTGAACTTCATTTCTTTGACCAATAAAACCGTTACAGCTTTCAACTAATCCAAAAGTAATGTTCTTGCTTGTTTCACCCAAAGAAGTATGAAAAAAACTATGATTTGTTGATTGATCACTATAAGAGTTATTAATGGTGGTTTTTGGTTGTGGTACAGGTAACGGAGGTGCTCTTTGCAGTCGAGCCTTGATGTTGTTTATGGTCATGTAAGACATTCCTATAGAATTAAGCGTCAATGATGGCTGGATGTTACTGGATTGAGGGATGGATTCATAATCATTAGTTGGGGTCGATTGCCCACATATGTTGTAAGCATATCTCTCTACTTGCTTTTTCTTTTGTGGTATCGAGGTTGGCTTCTTGATACTCTTTTGATTTTTTTGGTATTTCTGAAAGTATAAAATATGGAATATTCCCATCATAACCAAATAAGAATAAGAGCTTGAAGTTGGAAACTAAAAAACTTGCAATAGTGAAGGAAAAGAAGTAGAAATATGGAGATGAACATATAAGTAAGTTACCTGTAGGTGGCTCGCGATCTGACTACGTGTGAGTCCTGGAACATTCATCGCTTCTAGAATTGCAGAAGGATAAGATTCTGTAAACAATAAATTATGTGAAATAGAACAATTAATAACAAGTAAAATAAATAGTTCCAAAATAAAAAAAATGTAAAAAGATACTATATATTGACTTCAAAATTAGTTAAATGAAATACTCAAGAGGATGTGTGGATATATATACTATACTTTTTTTCCCAAGTGTATTGATTGCCTCAACAAACTTTTTGTGAAGAACACTCGTCCATGAAATCCGCTTCTTGGTATCAAATGTATTTTTATAATATTTGGCATCTTCAACAAGTTGGTCATTTGTTCTCTTATGCTCATGAATTTGTTCTTTATCATGATCATTGCCTTGTACTTCCTTATATGTAACTGGCTTAAACATGGGATTATACTCTAGTGAGTTAATGTTTAGTCCTTCTTGAGTGACACCTTCTAATGATAAGTTGTTACTGATACATTTGGGGTTGAGATTTTTTGATTGCTTAACTATCTGATCAACCCTTTTGAAGATGTTAGACTCTTGGTTTTCTTCAGGTGATTCTCCATTTGAGTAGTTACATCCTTCAAATGATATTATCTTTCTACAAACATGTTTCCAAATATTGCAAATCTCCTTATGACCACATGGTTTTGGGAGATATAAAACCGCCTCATTTTCTATAATTTCCTTAAGGAGTCGCATGTGAGTATTATGGGAAGCCATCACTACATAAGGTTTTAAAGAGTTAGAGAAAATATATGTTAGTGAGAATTGAAATATATTTGGATTAAGATATGTGTATGTCAAATTTCAAACTAATCAAAGTATAAATTTAACTCTTACTAATTATAGATAAATGAGGTTGATGCTTAAAAGTTTGATGGAGAAAATCCACTATATCCATTTCACTTATGTCAGCATCTATCAAGACACAGTCATACAATTCTCCATTCAGTATCTTTAATAATCCTGTAGCCACTTCAGATGTGGTTGTAACTGTAAAAACAACACATGATAGTATTACAAGCATGTTAAGTTATGATACACTAAATAGTTTAAGAAAGTTACTTAGTGGAACTAGTGTTATTTTCTGTAAAATTATATTCTTTACTAGACATGTCATTAGAGGGGAAAGACCAACATTGCGAAATGAACATTTTGGTTATAATTTAATAATTTCTTATCACTGTTTTATATTAGCCCAAACCTTTATAGTAGCACTTCTTTACCGATTGTTTTGATCCACTAAAACTTTAACCCTTCATAGATGCTTTTCCAATATTGAGAAGTCGTGTATCCAACTAGCGGGATAGCCCTAACAGTTTTTCAATGCATCTCCTTTCGAATTCTTTTATGTTAACATAGAATTTCGAAACAAATAAATCCAGCCAAACATGGGTATTGTGTTCTATGCCATTAGAAATCTTAGTTGTTGAAAATTGACCTAAAAAATTTGTCTTGTGGTCCTTGTGATTTCATTAATTTCTTGTGAACTATAGGCAAAACAACTTAGAGAGGCATCTAGAGATAACTTTTTGAACTACGGTTCAAAAAACTTGACTAATTCTAGTAAGAAAGGAACCGAAAAACTCGGAGGTATCATGGGGAAACATTGATTGATCTAGGTGACTTGAACTCAACATCATGAGAATAGACGATATAACTTTGAGCGCTTGGCAATTAAAAAAATCTTTTTTATACTCATTTAAGTTAATAGAGAGAGTGTGTGATAGAATCCTACAAAATCGCCCCTTCAAATTTCTCCCATTTCCTCCACATTTATACCTATCCACTTGTATTTATACTATTTCCTTGCATGGTAAATATTATTATCCCTAATGCATCTCTTTGTAGTCTCCTTCGTCCTTGGGGTTTCCCGATTTGGTGTTTCCACGTAAATCTCAGTTCCTTATCTCTCATCATTAGTGTTATACTTATTATTGTTAATTCTCATTATATATTAGTAATAACCTTTGATTTGAAATATTATTATGAAATTATCAAGTCAACTGAATCATTTGAATCTATTGGGATAAACCCTAGTTTTGCTAATATTTGGTAAAGTTTTTTATTGTTCTTTGTTCATTAATTATTATGAGAAGTTACTTTTAGTGGCGGAAGATTGTGATATTATAATTTACAAACATGTGCACCCTATGGAAAATCTACACCTATGTAGAGCATGTAGAACAATTATAAATCTCTCTCACTAAGTTTTTTTTATGCAAACCAACTTTATTGAAGGTACGTAGCAATTTTTTTTTATGGTTGGTTAGTGGTTAAAAATTAAATTCATTAAATTAGTTAATTCACATAAACCAGGACCACAAATTCACATAAACCAGGACCACAAATCTCAGAGGTTTCCACCTCTATCAAGTGAGCTTGTCTTACATTAGCTTTTAGCAGCTAAGGATCTTGAATTGAAAAAGATTTTGAAATTGAATATAAATCTTGTAAATGTATCATCTATCGGAAATGCTAGCGACACATATAATGTCTTTATATTTAAAAGGCCCTAAGACTGGATCGATTAATCAACCTACCAATTCACTGAAGAAAGACAACAAAGTAAGATGGATGGAGAAAGAAACTCAAACTAGCTACCATGATAACTGATTAGAGCTATAGGAAAGAATGTATCCATGATACTTGAAAGAACTTTTTTTTTTCAGGTTCAACAAAAAACACTCGAAGACCACAATTGTTTTTTGGTATAAGTGTGATGACCTCTAAGCTATAAATTGTCATTTTGAGCAATGTGGACAAGGTATAAATTTGGGGCAAGAGAACTAGTGAGGCCCTAAAAAATAGGTTTAGTATGTGCTTTATGGATCATAAAGTGAATCACTATACATAGTATCGCCTAAATACATTAGCTACAAGACAAGCAATATTTTTGTGGAGACCAAAATTTCGATAATCCAAGGGTTAACTATTATTTTTAGGTATTAGTATATAAAATATTTGAATTCTTTTTCATAAATTAATTAAGATCAATAATTTTTCATATATCAACTTGGAAAGTACATGATTCTTTTTCTTTTTGTAACACTGGAGTTCAATGCTTATGTGGAATCCGATTTACAAATACTAAAATTGGACAAAGCTCTCTATATGAAGCAACTATAAGATTTGTTGAATGTATTTCTACGACGACATAAATTGTGAAGCATGCGAGAGATTGAGGACCCATGGAGTCATCAAAATGACTATCTAGAAAAAGTTAGTAATGAATTTGTAAAAAAACTACTAAGTTGTGAAAATGAAATAAAAACATGCATTAAAAAAATATAAAATAGAACATTATGAAACAGTATATAAAAAGTTCTAAAAAGTAAACTTGTCAATTTTTAGAGAACATGAAACAGTATGTAAAAAGTTCTAAAAAGTAAAATTGCAAATAAAAATTGACATTTTATAAAATATGAAATGAAACAATTACCATAAAAATGAAAAAAAAAAAGTGATTTCAAAAAATTAGTATTGAATGAAACAATTACCATAAATTCATATTTCTACTCTTATATCCAAACCTTAATAGAATTTAAAAATTCTTAGAAATCACGAACTCATATATAACAATAAGAAGAAGAAAAATATAAAATTAAATAGCCGTCAACATTAAAAAAATCTAAATAACTAAATTTATCAAAAAACTGTAGCCAAATATATATTAATTCATAATGGAGATTTAAAAGAAATCTAATATAGTTTTGAGGCAACCTACAAGAACTAAAATCTTTTATTTATATTTGTTGAAACCTAGTATTAGACATTTTCCATAATTATCTAATTCTATAGGTCATATGGATGATTCTTATGTCCATTCATTTATGATTCATTTTTATAACATCAAATAACCACATTTATTTATCCTAATATCCGCTGTAGGAAAGGATCTTAATAAACATTAACCATTTTGCTTTGCACATTTAATTATAAACTCCTAATGATTTCTTTTATTATTTGTTTTTTATTTTCTCTAATAATATAAACAATCGTTATTTTTCATGATATTTCCTATATAAATACTAAATAAATTAAAAAGTTTGGTGGATGGACACATCTTGGTACGTATATGGTAGCTCCTCCGTTGGTATGTGTATAGTTATAAAGAAGACCCTAAACCCCTTAATTGTTTCTTTGGAGAACAAGATGCATGATATATTAATTGCAAATTGCTAGACATTCATCAATTAGTTCACATCTAACAAGTTTCAATATATTTCCATTTCTTTTTGAGTAATTGAATTTTGGTTAGGCACATTAATATGAACAACTTGAAGTCCTTTAACTTTATTAAGAACAAAAGTTTGCAACAATCTTATTCACAAAAAGGCTTTCACTCTCTTTTCTAACAAAGTGAAACATTGTAAAATGTAAACCTAATGCCAATCTATAAGGTAATGGTCTCTTTTACAATGGAATTTTAAACAAACTTTCATTTTAAAAAACTGATGGATCAAACTAAATCGTTTAACTCAAAAATTATCACAAATACTAAAGAGATTAGAGATGTGCCTGTTAGTGGGTGTTAGTGTGTGTGTGTGAGAGAGAGAGGGAGAGAGAGAGAGTTTACCCCGATAAGAACTATGTGAAAGCATGTATGCATGGTGCTCGAGTGAACTTTTTTCATATTCTATCAACAAAACTCGAAGATCACGAAATCTTTTTGGAACAATTGTGACATCAAAAGTAGTGATTGTCATTTTGATAAAGAAAGACATACCAACTAGCTTATATTTATGGCGACGGCTTGAGTGCGTGACATGAGTAACATTTGGCTTGATCTAAAAAATAGATGAATAGGATTGCAACTTAGAATTGAGTCAAAACTAAGTAAATATATATTATCTACAACCCATTTTTGCTAGTTAATAATATTTCGAATTATGTTTTTATATTGATTTATTTATGTTAATTGTTGTATTAATTACATTTGTGTCCAACTAATAATTAAGTGCATGCCATCATTATCTACATTTATAGTGACCAAAATGATATAATCACATGATTTTAAGTCTTTCATCCACTTTGAGTGATAGTAGTTTAAGTAGCAGTTAAAATAATATCATTACTATATATTTTCCAAATCCTCTCTAATGAATGAAAGTTTTTTTTGCCACTTGTCACAATCGAATTCAATTTTCCAAATATCATTTTGTGGTTATTTTGATTTTTTTCCACAAGTTATTTATGAGTTTTTCTATTTTATTAAATTCCACATAAAATTTTAATATAATAATTGCAATAAATGTTGTAATAAATGAATATAAATTTCACTAATGAACTTACCTTTAAATTTTAAAATTCCCAAAATTAAAGCTCATTAGTTTTTTCTATTTATTTAAATTTTTAATATAAAAAACATTTCCATTATAATAATTCTTTATTTTTTTATTTTCTTATAAATTCAAAGTACTTAAATATTTGACGTTTATATTTCAATTTTTTATTTTTTATTTTAGACCATGTAATACATAGGTCTTACAACTAGTATTTTTTTAACCGAAAAACTGAAGAAATATCAATTAGTGTTTTGAAATACAAAGTTAAGGTTATCAACCAAAAACATTGTCCCAATTATATTGATGCTTTATGACTTCTGTAGCACATAAAACATTTTTTTTACCATAATTTGGACCCAAATTAGTTTTAGCTTTGAAATTGCAAAACTTAGTAGAGAAATTAAATATTCT